CCCCCCCCCTGTCCTCATCAGCAGTTTGGAAATGTCCAGTAACCTTAAAAATTTGGAATAAAATCTTCTGTAATTGGTTCCTGATTGAAGGTTTGGGTTTGTCACCCACAATTTGCCAAGCTTGACATGAAGAAACCATAGGTTCTACCTCCTTCTCACTTCCGGGCCCTTTCCACATAACCAGTGCTTGGTGCATAGTCTTGATGCCCTTCCTGGGCCAGCTGAAGGGTTTATTTGTCAAAAAGTATGCAGCCTAAGGATACAGTTTCTCTGTATTTGCCTTCCTGGAGAGAGAAGCACACTGACTCCAAGATTATCCTGGGTCATGGAATCAAGGTGCATTTATGTAGTGGGGAAATGTATGAACCCGCTGAGGGAGTCCCCTCAATCCTGTGGTATCTAGACACTGGGAACAGCGGTAACTGTGTCATATATTGAACCCTACCACGTCCTTCCCAGGGTCACAAAGGTCCCGTCACATGCAACAGGAGGGTTTTCTTTTGTTCAGGCGCAGTCAGGGTCGGATTTCCCACAAGGGCAACCAAGGCCTGACCTCGGGGCAGCAGGGAGTAGAGGGGCAGCAGGGGTGTGGAATTCCTATCTCCCGATGTCCGGTACATGCAGTTCCGGGTGCCGGGCGGGTAGTTCAAACAATTATGGTATTAAACAGAGGCACTCTGGCTTGAAATACTAATTTCAAGCCAGGCAGTCTTACTTCTCTTGCTGCATTCTCTTTACCATGGAGAATCCAGCTTTAAGAAGGAGGATCCTTGTGATCAGTGTGAGAGGTCCGCCGAGCTGATATAGAGATATGATCTGATATTATCTTACCATATACGTAGAATACAGAAGACCAGCCAGTGTATTGCACTAGGATCCCGGCTAATGGCATAGCGATCACCGCTCCGGCGTAGGACCCTGAGAGGAATATGAAACTGGTCAGTTGTGAATCTTTCGTGGATTGGTGAGACAGAAAAGGAGGAGCAAAAGAGTAAATCTTTACCGCAGAAGGAGGTGGTCGCCAGCCTACTCCTTTCTAATGGCGGCGCCCACTTGCTCCATATTCCATGGCATGCCGGGTAGGTGACACCCTAAATTTATGGGGAAAAAAGAACATTTCATTGAATTTCTTCCAAATGAGTAAGTTGGGCAACTTACAACCAGTGTCACCCCCCCCCCCTCCCCTCAACATGCACCAAAGAGATGCCACCTGAGGCAACAGTCTCAGGCCTGTCTCATTATAGGGACGGCCCTACATCTATTACTACCATTTTGTGAGTCAAGTGCAAAGCTGCGTTCAAGCTCCTCCCCCCCCCAAAAAAAAAATGGAGCTTGGCTGTACAATTCATCCTAAATCAGAAGGATCTGGTTATAGCACTGGAGAGAACCAAGAAGACCCTCCTGTTAGCTGTCCTGGATTTGCTAGGACAGTCCCGGATCTCGGACCCTAGTCCCAAAGTTGCTGTGTCTTGGGTGATGTCCTGGGATCACAATGTTACCCTTATTTAAGTTACTGCGCATGCTCAGCACATCAATCAGGCATTCATTATGGTAATTAGAGGTGGAGTTTGAGTGGGTCAGTCTGGTAAGGGGCAAGGGTCCGGGTGGGACTGCAGGTCAGAGGGAAGGCCTGACACAGACTGTTGGTGGGGACTACCTAGTCACTGGCTGGGCCTGAGACAGACTGTTGGTGGGGACTACCTAGTCACTGGATGGCCCTGAGATAGACTGTTGGTGGGGACTACCTAGTCACTGGATGGCCCTGAGATAGACTGTTGGTGGGGACTACCTAGTCACTGGGTGGACCCTGAGAGAGACTGTTGGTGGGGACTACCTAGTCACTGGATGGTCCTGAGACAGACTGTTGGTGGGGACTACCTAGTCACTGGCTGGCCCTGAGACAGACTGTTGGTGGGGACTACCTAGTCATTGGATGGGCCTGAGACAGACTGTTGGTGGGGACTACCTAGTCACTGGATGGCCCTGAGATAGACTGTTGGTGGGGACTACCTAGTCACTGGCTGGGCCTGAGACAGACTGTTGGTGGGGACTACCTAGTCACTGGATGGTCCTGAGACAGACTGTTGGTGGGGACTACCTAGTCACTGGATGGTCCTGAGACAGACTGTTGGTGGGGACTACCTAGTCACTGGATGGGCCTGAGACAGACTGTTGGTGGGGACTACCTAGTCACTGGATGGGCCTGAGACAGACTGTTGGTGGGGACTACCTAGTCACTGGATGGGCCTGAGACAGACTGTTGGTGGGGACTACCTAGTCACTGGATGGGCCTGAGACAGACTGTTGGTGGGGACTACCTAGTCACTGGATGGTCCTGAGACAGACTGTTGGTGGGGACTACCTAGTCACTGGATGGGCCTGAGACAGACTGTTGGTGGGGACTACCTAGTCACTGGATGGTCCTGAGACAGACTGTTGGTGGGGACTACCTAGTCACTGGATGGGCCTGAGACAGACTGTTGGTGGGGACTACCTAGTCACTGGATGGGCCTGAGACAGACTGTTGGTGGGGACTACCTAGTCACTGGATGGGCCTGAGACAGACTGTTGGTGGGGACTACCTAGTCACTGGATGGGCCTGAGACAGACTGTTGGTGGGGACTACCTAGTCACTGGATGGGCCTGAGACAGACTGTTGGTGGGGACTACCTAGTCACTGGATGGGCCTGAGACAGACTGTTGGTGGGGACTACCTAGTCACTGGATGGGCCTGAGACAGACTGTTGGTGGGGACTACCTAGTCACTGGATGGGCCTGAGACAGACTGTTGGTGGGGACTACCTAGTCACTGGATGGGCCTGAGACAGACTGTTGGTGGGGACTACCTAGTCACTGGATGGGCCTGAGACAGACTGTTGGTGGGGACTACCTAGTCACTGGATGGGCCTGAGACAGACTGTTGGTGGGGACTACCTAGTCACTGGATGGGCCTGAGACAGACTGTTGGTGGGGACTACCTAGTCACTGGATGGGCCTGAGACAGACTGTTGGTGGGGACTACCTAGTCACTGGATGGGCCTGAGACAGACTGTTGGTGGGGACTACCTAGTCACTGGATGGGCCTGAGACAGACTGTTGGTGGGGACTACCTAGTCACTGGATGGGCCTGAGACAGACTGTTGGTGGGGACTACCTAGTCACTGGATGGGCCTGAGACAGACTGTTGGTGGGGACTACCTAGTCACTGGATGGGCCTGAGACAGACTGTTGGTGGGGACTACCTAGTCACTGGATGGGCCTGAGACAGACTGTTGGTGGGGACTACCTAGTCACTGGATGGGCCTGAGACAGACTGTTGGTGGGGACTACCTAGTCACTGGATGGGCCTGAGACAGACTGTTGGTGGGGACTACCTAGTCACTGGATGGGCCTGAGACAGACTGTTGGTGGGGACTACCTAGTCACTGGATGGGCCTGAGACAGACTGTTGGTGGGGACTACCTAGTCACTGGATGGGCCTGAGACAGACTGTTGGTGGGGACTACCTAGTCACTGGATGGGCCTGAGACAGACTGTTGGTGGGGACTACCTAGTCACTGGATGGGCCTGAGACAGACTGTTGGTGGGGACTACCTAGTCACTGGATGGGCCTGAGACAGACTGTTGGTGGGGACTACCTAGTCACTGGATGGGCCTGAGACAGACTGTTGGTGGGGACTACCTAGTCACTGGATGGGCCTGAGACAGACTGTTGGTGGGGACTACCTAGTCACTGGATGGGCCTGAGACAGACTGTTGGTGGGGACTACCTAGTCACTGGATGGGCCTGAGACAGACTGTTGGTGGGGACTACCTAGTCACTGGCTGGGCCTGAGACAGACTGTTGGTGGGGACTACCTAGTCACTGGATGGTCCTGAGACAGACTGTTGGTGGGGACTACCTAGTCACTGGCTGGCCCTGAGACAGACTGTTGGTGGGGACTACCTAGTCATTGGATGGGCCTGAGACAGACTGTTGGTGGGGACTACCTAGTCACTGGACGAGCCTGAGGCAGACTGTTGGTGGGGACTACCTAGTCATTGGATGGGCCTGAGACAGACTGTTGGTGGGAACTACCTAGTCACTGGAAGGTCCTGAGACAGACTGTTGGTGGGGACTACCTAGTCAATGGAGGGGTCTGAGACAGACTGTTGGTGGGGACTACCTAGTCACTGGATGGGCCTGAGACAGACTGTTGGTGGGGACTACCTAGTCACTGGATGGGCCTGAGACAGACTGTTGGTGGGGACTACCTAGTCACTGGATGGGCCTGAGATACATCAAACCTGACACCTTTTTCATGAGGTCAACTGGTGAGAATTTCCATAAAGGTGCTGCTTCCGTTTTGCCGGCACTCGCCGAGGGTTCCTTTTCGGTGATCCAAAGCTCATTAACAAATGAAAAGCGGATGGCCGTGTGAGCTCTGAGCCCTGATTTGAAAGCAGCCGCAGACACAGGCCGGTTGTTGGAGGAAGATACTTCTATAGACTCCTCCTCAGCTCTGTGAGCACCTCACGGTGGTACTTTCCCCGGGATGGGTGATTTCAGATAAGGGCTCAAGGACTCAACAGCCTCCATTCCTGGAAAATGTCTTCAGATGTCAATAGAATGCGGTCAAATATCAAACAAATGATCTCAGTACCTCTACAAGCCCTTGTAGGATCCTGACAAAGATCACAAACCCATAATGCACTCTGGCCGCTGACGGGATAAACATGTTCAAAGTGGAGGTTAGCACTATGGCGGCACCAAACACCCTGCGAGACAGAAAAACAAAAAGGGTCAAACATCAGAGGAGAGGACATACACAAGAAAAGCATCGACGGTCATTATTTTATTACAGCTGCAACTATTTGTAGGGAACCGCGGCCAGTGACCAGGTTCGGTGTCCACAGAATAGTCGGGGCATTCCGCAGGGGCGGTCCATGGGAGTGTTCTGCAGGGGCGGTGCTCTCTGTGACAGTCAGTGGTGAGTGTACAGGGAACCTCAATACAAATTCTTAGTCCAATAGGGACCTCAGAATACCCAAAAATCAGCTCTCAGTAGCAGAGACAATCAGACACGCCCCCTCTCTTGCCCTCTGAGAGGACACTTGTGATGAGGGGTGTGGCTATTACTAGGCTCTGCCGCCACAGAGCACTGCAGTGTAAGGACAGGAGGCAATACATACTGTACATACAGAATAAGAACAGATACCGAGAATGACACCCGGCATAAGGGACAAGAGAAGTGGTACTGTGCAGAGTCCATACATACAGAATAAGAACAGATACCGAGAATGACACCCAGCATACGGGACAAGAGAAGTGGTACTGTGCAGAGTCCATACATACAGAATAAGAACAGATACCGAGAATGACACCCGGAATACAGGACAAGGGAAGTGGTACTGTGCAGAGTCCATACATACAGAATAAGAACAGATACTGAGAATGACACCTGGCATACAGGACAAGAGAAGTGGTACTGTGCAGAGTCCATACATAGAGAATAAGAACAGATACTGAGAATGACACCCGGCATACAGGACAAGAGAAGTGGTACTGTGCAAAGTCCATACATACAGAATAAGAACAGATACCGAGAATGACACCCGGCATACAGGACAAGAGAAGTGGTACTGTGCAGAGTCCATACATACAGAATAAGAACAGATACCGAGAATGACACTCGGCATACAGGACAAGAGAAGTGGTACTGTGCAGAGTCCATACATACATGGAGAAAGTCGGTTTCACATATTGCCAACAATTAGATCATTCAGCCAACACCTGAGATCTCCGGGCCCCGGGGACAGTGACTGGAGGTGATGTCATGCCCTCGGGGATCATGGGGCAGGTAAATACACGAGGAAGGGGGTGAGATAAACATAGAAATATGTCATTTACCTCAATAACCCGGAGCTCATCCTTCCTACCAGAGCCGACCGTACATGGAACCTGTCCCAACTAAACTGCACATGTACAGTACCTCAAAAAAGGCATTCATTGTAGGGATCAGGGTGATTAGTCCCTGCCTATTCAGAGGTGGGATCTGGGCAGGACCAACTCGCAAAGTGGGCATAATGGGTGGTCCATGCATATCTAGAGGTGGGATCTGGGCAGGACCAACTCGCAAAGTGGGCATAATGGGTGGTCCATGCATATTTAGAGGTGGGATCTGGGCAGGACCAACTCGCAAAGTGCGGCATAATGGGTGGTCCCTGCATATCTAGAGGTGGGATCTGGGCAGGACCAACTGCATAATGGGTGGTCCCTGCATATCTAGAGGTGGGATCTGGGCAGGACCAACTCGTAAAGTGTGGCATAATGGGTGGTCCCTGCATATCTAGAGGTGGGATCTGGGCAGGACCAACTCGCAAAGTGGGCATAATGGGTGGTCCCTGCATAATCAGGTTGATTGTGTAGATCAGGGAGGCAAGTGGGCAGTCCCTGCATATTCAGAGGTGGGATATGGGACGAACCAACTCGTAAAGTGCGGCATAATGGGTGGTCCCTGCATATTTAGAGGTGGGATCTAGGCAGGACCAACTCGTAAAGTGCAGCATAATGGGTGGTCCCTGCATATCCAGAGGTGGGATCTGGGCAGGACAAACTCCATAATGGGTGGTCCCTGCATATTTAGAGGTGGGATCTGGGCAGGACCAACTCGTAAAGTGCGGCATAATGGGTGGTCCCTGCATATCTAGAGGTGGGATCTGGGCAGGACAAACCCCATAATGGGTGGTCCCTGCCTATTTAGAGGTGGGATCTGGGCAGGACCAACTCGTAAAGTGGTCATAATAGGTGGTCCCTGCATAATCAGGTTAATTGTGGGGATCAGGGAGGCAAGTGGGCAGTTCCTGCATACTCAGAGGTGAGATTCGGGAGTAACCAACTCATAAAGTGGGCTTGATTTGGGCATGGCCTCCTACAAAGTGGGTGGACACAATCCAGACTATGGAGGGGGTTAACAGTGTCCTGGGATCCCGGAGCATAAGTAAGTTTGTAGGAATAGAATAGGAATTACGATTCAGCTTGAGACATTTAAATTAATTATAATCATATTATAATATATAATAATTATATCATTTGAATTTTGGGGATCAACCCTCCTGGCAATAGAGTTGCCCACTGGACAGGGGCCCCGTAGTAATGAGGAAGCATGGCCGACCCCCATGTTTTTACATCAAGCACATTTCCTTCTGGTGAACATCCAACAAACGAATGAAAACTATCTTTTCCCTTCTATGAAATCATTTCCTCCGGAGGTTGAGCAGGGACCGGACAGATTAGCTTAGACTTTGGGGGTTATTCACAACCGGCGAAGGCAGCCGTGTGAATAACCGACCTGAAGTGAGCCGAATGCTGTTCGGCTATTCACTTCAAGCTTGTACGGCTGATTTCAGCCATACACCGACTGAAATCAGCCGTACATCGGCTTGCTGCGGCTGGGTTCGGGTTACCAGGGGATGCTGTTCTGTCATTACGATGAGAGCTTAGCAGAGCCGGCTTTGGTATCACAGCCGGCTCCGACAAGCTCTCATGACAGTTCAGCGTCCCCCGGTCACTAGGTAACCAGAGGACGCTGAACTGTCATTACACACTGAGAACTTGGTGGAACCCGCCGTGATATCAGTGTAATGACAGATCAGCGTCCCTGGTTACCTGGTGACCAGGGGACGCTGATCTGTCTCTGCATGCAAGTGGCCGGAGCCAGCCGTGAGATAACGGCTGGCTCCGCCCAGCTGTCAGTAGCAGGCTGTCGGCCTGCCAATGGCCGGCCGTTCAGCCAGCTTCGGCTTTCACCTCGGCTCAAGTGAGCCGAAGCATATGCCTTCGGCTCGGCTGAGCCGCTCGGCCAACTTCGGGGAGCTGTACGGTTTATTGTGAATAGCCCGTACAGCAGCCCTTCCGTTCTACTGAACCGAAGGGGTCCTGGGGCCGAAGCAAGCCGAAGGATCCGCCGAAGCTACGGCCAGATCCTTCGGCAGCCTTTTATGTGCTCTGAGTCCTGAGCGTGGTGTTCAGAGGAAGACCTGATGTCCGGCTGAAGCCCACCGCCGCAGAATTCGCCTTTTTTTCTCTGATCGATGGATGTTTTTTAAATGAGCTGTTTTTCGGTCGCATTAAAATGCTGAAAGAGATCTTTTGACCTTCCGATCTGATTTAAAAAAAAAAAAGATTAAAGGAAAAAAGAAACCGCCTTTGATTCATCGCCGACACGCATCTGAGGCTCGGATTTATTGAACGAATTCCCGGGCGGTTCATTAAATGGGGGAAACGTCTATATTACTAGGGGGAGACAATGGAAGCGGCGTGGAGCATATGGTAAGTAGCATCCAGTGAGTGGGGATTAGGCTTGGCGTGTGGCAGGCTGGGTTGGGGGGGGGGGGAGAGGGGGGCTTTCTGAGCTTTTAAAGAACCTGAAATACAAAGCACTCGTGTTCACGGTCAGTTCAGCCTTTCAGGGAAACCTTTCCACCCAGAATGCCTATTGATCGGCCTCTTCATCAAGCCTCTGTTAGAACTCTTTAATGCTGCTTTGTATTACATTCATGGCGACGACTCACAACAACCTTCATTAGTTTAGTGAGACAAAAGAGGAAACTGCTTCCTATTCACTAACACAGAGCCAAGGAGAAGGATGATATGCGGGACGGATGGGTCTACCTAGGCTAGGCCCATCACTTGGGACAATGGGAACTCGGATGAGACTATTGAAGGGCCAGTCCACTTTCAGGTGAAGTCCAGAGGACTCAGATAGCCCCTGGTGTCTTATATCTCATGGGGACTTCAGTCGTGAGATTCTCCTGCCATGTTCCTGGCCACTAACTGACCTAGTTGGGCATTTACTTTCCATTTTTGGTAGGTTCCCATTGAGCTTTTGGGTGTTCCTACTCTTCCTGTTGCATTGGGCATCTCATAAATTCTAAATATAGCTGCTGCAGATGTGAGTCAGGGAGAGATGTAAGAACCTGTTCAGTGACTGAACGCTGACTTCCGTCCTTCCCTTCAGTCTTATATCTGACCTCCGTCCTCCCCTTCAGTCTTCTATCTGACCTCCGTCCTTCCCTTCAGTCTTATATGTGACCTCCGTCCTTCCCTTCAGTCTTCTATCTGACCTCCCTCCTTCCCTTCAGTCTTCTATCTGACCTCCCTCCTTCCCTTCAGTCTTATATCTGACCTCCGTCCTTCCCTTCAGTCTTATATGTGACCTCCCTCCTTCCCTTCAGTCTTCTATCTGACCTCCGTCCTTCCCTTCAGTCTTATATCTGACCTCCGTCCTCCCCTTCAGTCTTATATCTGACCTCCGTCCTCCCCTTCAGTCTTCTATCTGACCTCCGTCCTTCCCTTCAGTCTTCTATCTGACCTCCGTCCTCCCCTTCATTCTTCTATCTGACCTCCATCCTTCCCTTCAGTCTTCTATCTGACCTCTCTCCTTCCCTTCAGTCTTATATCTGACCTCCATCCATCCCTTCAGTCTTATATTTGACCTCCATCCATCCCTTCAGTCTTATATCTGACCTCCATTCCTCCCTTCAGTTTTATATCTGACCTCCATTCATCCCTTCAGTCTTATATCTGACCTCCATCCTTCCCTTCAGTCTTCTATCTGACCTCCATCCTTCTCTTCAGTCTTCTATCTGACCTCCATCCTTCTCTTCAGTCTTCTATCTGACCTCCATCCTTCCCTTCAGTCTTATATCTGACCTCCATCCTTCCCTTCAGTCTTATATCTGACCTCCGTCCATCCCTTCAGTCTTATATCTGACCTCTGTCCTTCCCTCCAGTCTTATATTTGACCTCTTGCACAGTCTTGCACAGTTGTACCGGCTCCTCTCTTGGACTGAAATGGCTTCCTCTGATTTCATTGCACACTGGGAGCTTCTCCACCCCCCAAAAAATTAAATCACAGCAAAAATAGATAATTTCATTAGCATGTTGATGGGGGAGGGGAGGAACCAGGGAAAGCAAAATATAATTGGATTAAACTGCAGCTTTAATCTGATCAGCATGCCTGTCTATAGGGTTTCTGTAGATTCTTTTTCATCTTCCAGATCCTCTCAGGCCGGGATAGCATAAAGAGAGGACAGTTTGCTGTAAAGATGTTGCCGGATTCTGGAAGGCTTCTCGCAAACCCCCCCCCCCCCCCCTC